GAACTCCTGACCTCAGGTGATCCACCCGCCTCGGCCTTCCAAAGTGCTGGGACCACTGCGCCTGGCCTAAAATTTATTTTAAAAGGCTGGATGCGGTGGCTCATGCTGGGAAGCTGAGGCAGGTGTATTACCTGAGGCCAGGAGTTCAAGACCAGTATGGCCAACATGGTGAAACCTCATTTCTACTAAAGAAAATAATATAAAAATTAGGCTGACATGTGAGAATCATTTCAACCCAGGAGGTAAAGATTGCAGTGAGCCAAGATTGTGCCACTCACCACACCCTAGCCTAGGCAACAGGGAGAGATTGTCTCAAAACAATTTGTTAAAATAAATAAATAAATAAATAAAATAAAATAAAAAAAAGCATGGGAAAACAGCATGACTGCTAGTATCAAGAGCCTACTACAAGTTAATAATCATGAACTGAAAGTAAGATCAGTCAATAAGGTTATCTATTTTCCTCCAATCAGACTCAGCTATTATTGGTGCAGGTACAAAGTGGAGAATTGAACCTAATCAAAGTAGGTTTAGCAAAGCAAGTGAAAAAGGAAAAGTAAGGCCAGACATGGTGGCTCACACCTGTAAAACTAGCACTTTGGGAGGCCAAGGCAAGTGGATTGACTGCGCTGAGGAATTCAGGACCAGCCTGGGCAACATGGTGAAACCCTGTCTCTACCAAAAATATAAAAATTAGCAAGGCATGGTAGCATGCACCTGTGGTCTCAGCAACTCAGGAGGCTGAGGTGGGAGGAGCACTGGAGCCTGGGAAATTGAGGCTGCAATGAGCTGTGATCATGCCACTGCACTCCAGCCTAGATAAACAGTGAGACCTTGTTTCAAAAATTAAAAATAATAATTTTTTAAAAGGGAAAAGCAAATTGAGGGTATGTGACGGGAAGCAATTATAATCATTGACTCAGGAATTTAAGGTTAGTAAGGAGGAAGTGAGGAATAGTGAAAAGATGGCAGAGTCAACAAGTTATCCAGGTTTAAGTAGGACAGCAAAGGAGCTGAGAAGACAGCAGGCAGTGGTTGCAGAATGGGACCACTCACTGAAATTATGAAGAGTTGCAATGCTTGTCATACCAGAGTACGACCATTCGGAGTTAGTGGCTGAAGTACGGTAGACAACTGGAGAGCAAGATCCCTGGAGGAGAGGAAGTCAAAGAATGGAAGGCCAGATATTGGAAGAATCATCTATATGTGGAAATAACAAGGAACAACCTGGCAATTGTTGGATGACTAAAACAAGGAGGAGCAGTGGCTGGTAAAACCTAAGTTTTATTTTTTATTTTTTAAAGACAAAATCTCACTCTGTTACCCAGGCTGGAGTACAGTGGAACGATCACAGCTCACTGCAGCCCTGACCTCCCAGGCTCAAGCAATCTTCCTAACTCAGCCTCCCAAGCAGCTAGGGCTACATGTGTGCACCATCACGTCCAGCTAATTTTTTAAATTTTTTGAGAGATAGGGTCTCACTGTAGTACCCCAGCTGGTATCAAACTCCTAGGCTCACGCAATCCTCCTGTCTCAGCCTCCCAAAGTGCTGGGATTACAGGTGTGAGCCACCATGTCCAGCCATAATGTGAAGTTTTAAACTGAAGGTTTCATGGAAACAAACTCCAATGTGAAAGCAAAAATAAATAAATAAATAAACTGAAGGTTTCAGGGAAAAGGGAGAGAATGGTCCAGAAGCAGCTATGAGAATCAACAGAGACATTCACTCATTTCCTGTCAGTGTTACAAGGAAGAGGAAAGAGCCATTGTTTGAGAAACCTACAAGGAAAGCAAAGCTTCAGCAACAGCTGGAAAGTGAAAGCTGCCCTGAGAAAACAGAGTGAGTATTTGGGGGATGTAGCTGAAAACTAACCAAGAGTTCCAAAGGGTACGAGAAAGATCATTAGAGATAGCCAGGGTGGTACTTAGGATCCATGCTACCTTTGGGCATAACCATGGTGTGGACTTCACTCAAAGTGTTATTTTGAAGATTATATTCAACAATACAAGGAAAGTATTTAGAAAGTCCTTAAAACTGTGCATCTAGCACATAGTCTGCACGTAAAAAAATGTTATGTATAATTACAAGATACTTTTCATATGATTACAGAATACTTTCTCTCCTGTATCATCCTATCAAATTCTTTGAAAATCTTTTATTTTCATTTAACATTTCAATGATATGAAAAGGTTTTAAATCCTAAGATTATAAAATCTAAGAAGGGGGGGAATATCATGTACTTGTCTGAGTGTTCCACAAGGTTCAAGATCTGAACAACACTGGCAGAGGGTCAAGTAGCAATTCACAAACCAATACCAACTGTGACCTCAGGAGGAGGTGTCACTATATTCTGCATCTCCCAGACCTACCTTACAGATGTCAAGGGATTTAACTAATCTTTCAGAGGAAAAAAAGGTGCAGGGCAGAGATGAACAGAAATGGAAGAAAATATCTCATCAATATCAAACTAACCTTAATCCCTACTCTCAGGACATTGACTCTCTGAACATAATATACTCTTCAACTCCTTTCAACAGATTGTGGTGTAGAATGACAACAAAGGCTTTCTGAAAACATAAATGAGCCTATTTTCTCAAAGACAAGGATTGAGGGATAGAAAAATGATTCCTAGCCCTATGAGGAATAGGTCAGATGACAATTTCAAATCAAGAAACCTTCCTAAAACAAAGGAATATAAAAGAACAATGTGATACATACCACTTGCCTAGCAATTCTGAAACACATTAATATTCCACTCTGCTACTAAATTCCAGATTTATCAAAAAGTCAAATACTTTAAGAAAAACTTTCATAAAATATATTTACCAGCTCTATGAAAAAAAGGGGAGCCTTCTCAGAAACAATCTTTTTCTTTGCTTCATTATCAATGCAAACATTAAAAAAAAAAAGATAAGCACATTCAATAAATATTTACTGAGTGGCTGCTATGTACCCAGCAGTATTTGAGGTATCAGTCATATATTAACATCTCTAACTCGCATAACCACCTAGGGAAATTTTGCATTAAAAATTTCAAAACGGCCGGGCGCGGTGGCTCAAGCCTGTAATCCCAGCACTTTGGGAGGCCGAGGCGGGTGGATCACAAGGTCAAGAGATCGAGACCATCCTGGTCAACATGGTGAAACCCCGTCTC